GAATGCCTACAGGTGCCAGGCTCTGTGCCAAGACTGGGGATGCAAGAATGCTCAGATAGACATGACTTGTCTCTGGTTACAGTCTGGTTCGGGGTCAGGCAGTAATACAGTAGTCAGGTTATTTCCCCAGGCATTGCCTCTCTTTCTGACTTCATAAAATAAACATTTACTGAGCCCTGTCATAATCCAGGCATGATGCTTGGTGCTGGGAATAAATACATGAAAAAGATACTTAAACAGATACGTAAATAGATCACAGTTGGGTGAGACCAGTCAAGGGTGTTCCTGGACCCAGTTCCAACATGTGTGTGTGCGCTGCGGGGAGTTTCTTCACAGCAACAAGCAATTGTCAGGCACAGCAGCATGTCCAAGAATTCAGCTCAGCTCTGACTCTCTCACATCAGATTCCCACAAATGTGCCCCGGTTATCACCTTGCTTCTGACCAACCAGCTATATATTGGAGGTTCCAGTGACCCTCTCCTTGGACTTCTGACTCCAATTGCAACTCTGTTGTTACCTATACTTATGACTGACTGACTATCATCAAAGGTCTCCACCACACTCTCCTTAGGTTTAATTAATTTGCTAGAACGGCTCATAGAACTCAGGAAAACCTGTTTACTCACTAGATCAGTTTACTGTAAAAGGAACTCAGGAACTACCAGAAGGAAGAGCTGCAATAGGGCAAATTATGGGGGAAAGGGTGGGGAGCTTCCATGCCCCCTCCAGAAGCATTCTCCCTGCCTGTCCATGTGTTCACCAACCCGGAAGCACTTCGAGCCCTCTCCTTTCGGGTTTTCATAGAGCTTTCATTCCATCGGCAGGATTGATTAAACCATTGGCCATTGGCAGTCTATTCATTCTCCAGCCTTCTCCCCTCCAGCAGGTCTGGAGGTGGGACTGGAAGTTCCAACCCTCTAATCACATGGCTGATTTTCCTGGCAACCAGCCCTTGTCCTTAGGTCCAAAAGTCACCTTATTCACATTACGGGAAATACCTTTATTGTACTCTTTCGAGGAAATTCCAAGTATTTTGGGAGCTCTGTGCCAGAAACAGGGATGAAGACCAAATATATATAAGAAATATATTTTGATCATCTAAATCACCAAATATGTTTCTTGTAAATCACAGTATTGCAACAAGATAGACACAAAGGATTTTATAGAGGATTAAGTGTAACTATAAGAGTTATATAAACTCGAGATCAACTCTCCTGGGATTAGAGGCAAATCAGAGAGTGCAGGTGATATATAAACTTGGAAAGTTTTAAAGCAGGTAGGTCAAGGCTGAGGCAAAAGGACTGAGGAGCAAAGCCCACAGTGCACAGAAGCAACACGAAATGCTTCATAAAATAAACATATATGAAGCTCCTACTGTATTCCAAGCCCAGGGCACACATGTGTGTGAAGGAGCCTAGTGTTCTGGAATGGTACCAGTCATCCAGCACGAGTAACAAGGAGAGGAATGGAAAAGCATGGGAATATCACGAATGGCCTTGTATGTTATGAGAATGATCCGGACCTTTGTTTTAAAATGTAGGTGATTTCAGAGCCACTGTCAGGGTTCAACTGGGTTGAAACAGAAAAAAAGCTTGGCTCAATCCCAGCTTCTGGATGTACTCAGTTATTGCCATTAAGCAATCTGCCTAACCTTTCTGAGCCTCAGTTTCTTCCTCTTTAAATGAGGCTAATAATGGCCTCCTTAAAGGATAATTATAGGGATGTATAAAGGTTAAAGGAAATAGTGTATGTTCAGTGAATGGCCACATGGATGATTGACATAAGTTCCACAAATGATAGTTTGTTTCCTTTCAGTCCCTTTTACTCTATGATAAGATTTGTGTTTGGAAAATACATTTGCTGGTAAATAAAACTCCAGGTGAGGATGGAGGAGACAAGTTATGCAGAACCAGGGAAACAAGGCACAAATTGGGCCTCGTGGGCACAGAGAGAAGGAAGGATGTCGGGAGGTGTTCAGGAAGTGGAACGGTTTGGAGCCTGATGGAACACTGGAGATGATGGAGGGGAGGGAGAGGAAGCAATCTCTGATGATTCCCGGGTTTCTCATTTAGGCAACTAAGGAGCGTGTTTATTTTGAGCAGTGACTACAGCCCTGGCTTGCAATATCCTGGGATGTTTCCAATTATCTTGCAGTGTGTGCAGAACTCTAAAATTATTCTGAACTAAAACAAAGACTAGCCTGCAAGCTCTGTGTCTCGGTGAAAGGCATCCACAGCCTGAAGCCTCGCAGACCCAGGGTCTGGCGTTTGCCTTTGACTCATGCTCCTGGTTCATTTCCCAAACCCAGTGACTCATCTAGTCCCCGTTCATTTCCACTACAAAAATATTTCTTCCATGTCTTATTTCTTTGCCATTCTGACTATAACCTTTCCATTTTAGAGCAATGCTTCTTCTGTCTATTATGTCTATAGATTCTTAGCTGCCAACTTACTTCAGACTGTCCTCTCCAAATACCTCCCATTCTTCTTCTGTACACGTTATAATTCATTGCTAATAACAAAACAAAACAAAAACCCCAGAACCTCTTTCCGGCTGTTTTAAATCCTGACACTTCCATTTGACTTCTGGCATCCTGAGTAGTCTGGCTGCACTCTTCCTAGCCAAGTTTACTTTTCTCTCTTTACAGTGGAAATCGTGTAGTTCAAATCCAGTCAGTGTTCTTTCTCTCTCACAAACAGACTCTGTCCAACCTACACATTTGCCTCAGCAGGAAAGCCCATTCCTCTGTATGTCAGGGAGCAAAACAGGGGTCCCAGAGTTAGACAAACCTAGGTTTGAATCCTTTTGCCACATGTTGGATGTGTGACCTTGAAAGTGACCTTGAACAAGTCACTTAGTGCCTCATTATTCCTAAAATAATGAGACCTTTCCTGAACTGTATTTAAAATGCCTCTCCCCCCCTGAGGACACCTTTGTTTCCTCATTTCCTATTCATTTTCTCCATAGCACGTTTCAACCTTTAATATAATATACCACATATAAAATTTTTGTTTTTTTAAATGTTTTTGCACTAGAATGTAATAAGCTGTTCATGGGCAAGGCATTTCTTTGTTTTCGTCACTGTGTATTCTCAGTACCCAGTACTGGGTCTGGTACATAGGAGGGAGGTCCTCGGGAAATATTGGATGGTGGATGGATGGATGGATGGATGGATGGATGGATGGATGGGTGGATGGGGAGCTGTTTTATTTACTTCTCAGAGCTCTTTTGAGGGCTAAGTGAAATCACATATGTAATAAGTGCAGTCGAGTATGTAGGGCAGCGAAGGCTCTGGGTATCATTGTCCTCCCCTTTGACAACTGTGTTCACATCCTTTATGCACTTGACATTCTTCTCAGATTAGTCCCAGTTTTTCCAGGAAGTGTCCCTGATTACATGGTTCTCTCATTTTTCCTGAATTTCCACTGCACTCAAAGTTTGTCATATTAAATCTAACAAGGAATTATATTCTGTACTAAGTTTATCACTATCGTTCCATGTGCTGTTTTTTTGTTTGGGTTTTTTTTTTTGTTTTTTTTTTTTTTTTTAGCTGAGCCATCCTACCACCTGTTGGCAGCTCAGCGACAGCTCAGCTCGGGCCGGGCATTGAATCACTGTTGCTCAGAGCTCGCTCACATTCTTGAGCGAGCTCTTAACCAACTGAGCCACTCACCCGGCCCCAACCCCATGTGCTTTTTCATTAGAGAACAGAATCCCCATACTTAGGAAAATACAAAACAAATACTAGTTGAACAATAGTTGTAGGTTGATTAATATTATTTTATACAAATGTATTTCTTAAAGCACTTCCAAAAAGGATGCATATTACACTGTCAGGCTGAATAGTTTAAGTTTGCTAAGCCACAACAATAATAGCTTGTCATGTTATAGTATGTAATATAATAAAACAATAAGTTATTTAAATTTTATTTAAAAACTAGAGAATAACCAAGATCTAATTGACATTTGAAAATGTTCAGTAATGAGCCTTACTAAAGAAAAGACTTTCCATTGGAGCATTTGTGGAAATATACAATGTAAATTAAGCATTTAAAAAAAAATGAATGTTAGGTTTTCACTGCAAGTGAATTCTGTATTTTGATTTGATAATAGAATATAAAATGCAGAGAAAGAAGGGTCAAGAATATCTTACCTACCAGTTAATATAAGCAAATAACAGTAAGTAATTTTCCTATTTGTTTAATTCACTATTTCTGAAAGTAGGAGCCACCTGCATAAGAAGCTTCTGGGGTGCATTTTTAAAGTGCCAATTCCTAGACTTCATCCTTCATCTATGAAATTATAATCTTTAGAGGATGGTTTAAGAATGTACATTTTTAACAGTACCAGAACTTTCTTTTTATGCACTCGAGAGTATGAGAACCCCTGGTTTAGTTCAAATTCTATTATCTATGGGATATAATCAATTGAAACAAGGGTCAATTCCTTTTTTGTAAAAGGTCTTCTATTTCAGTAGTGGCCCCAGTAAGCTATTGTTGAAATGCCAAGTATATATGGGCTACAATATGAGACAATAAACTAGGTTAATTAAAAGGATTCTGCTGAATTGCAGTGTGCCGGTTGTAGAAGGTTTATTATGAATGTAATGATCTTAAAACAATGGGAAATAATTAGCACTGAAATTAAGCTGTGGGTTAGCCACATTAGGGAAAGGTTAGCTTGCTATGAATTTTTATAAGGTTATGATGTTATTTTTGGATTGATTTGAGCATTGACTATAATCTAATTTAATGAAAACTTTGGAATAATAAAATTGTCATTATTAACTAAGCTACATATTAATTGATGAATTTTCTTGGACACATTTGCACTGGAGTAACTATTTTAAATTTATACAAGATAAATCTGGATGTAAAGTTATATATGTTTAATATTTAAGTAATTTAATACTTTGCTGCTACGATTAGATTTATTAAGCTACTCACAAGGGTCATCATCAAAGAAATGCTTTTAATTATTTTTTTTTCTGAAATTTTAGGTCGTGTGTGTGGTAAATAATTTCAAAGGAAGACAAGCAGAAAATGAGCATATACACATGGATAATCTGGCACAGATGCCAATGATCAGCATTCCTCGAGTAGAAAGTCCTTTGGAAAAGGTAACATCTGTACAGGTGATGCATAATTTAAATTCTAAAATGTAATTGTTACCTAGAGCAAAGGAATAATTATTCCTGAGAGTATTTGCGTAGTCATTTTTGATTTACTGAAACAAGCTCAGAGTCAAAGTGGTATTTAGCAAGAATTTAGTCACTGAAGACATTGTCTTAGAAAAAGGTAGATCACACTTAAAATATTTCTTTGAATCCCTCATGCTAAAAGCTGAATACCTGTATATGGAATGTGTTGTGTACTTTGCCATAGCTTCTAGAAGAGGAACACTGTGCATAGGAAAAATAATTAGGTATATGTGCATTTTTTTTCATTTTTCATTTCATTCAAAGTATGTTCCATTTCTTCCATGCTCCATTTACAGCTGACCCTTGAACAAGACACATCCACTTATATGCAGATTTTAAAAAAATAAATACTGTAAATATATTTTCTCTTCCTTATGATTTTCTTATTAACATTATTTCTCTAGCTTACTTTATTTTAATAATATACCATATAATACATATAACACAAAATATGTGTTAATCTACTGTTTATATTATCAATAATTATGTTCAGCCCTGTCCAAATCCACATTTTGATCAATGTCTTAGATGAAGAGTTCATTTACATGCTAATTGGGTTTGGATGGTGTGAATCTGTGGGGGATAATTAATATATTGGGTGAAAGAATAAAAATTCTTGAGCGATCACGATAAGATTACAATGAACAATTAACCAGAAACCAAAGCAAAAAAATTGCTTTGTATTTGTATAAAAAAATCATGTAGGGTAGGGTACATCTTGGTGAACTGTACAAACAGAAATGGTTCAGAGAGTATAGTAGTCAACCATTCAGCATGTGTGAACACAGGATACAGCTGCTGAGAGTTAATATGATGGTAATTCCTAGTTAGGGAAAACAGTACCCTGAATGAGAGGAATGGTCATTTGCTCTGTTCAGACCAACTTGGAAAACTGTGTACTGCCCTTGCCCACATAGTTTTAAGGTGAACGTTAATAAAATAGAATAGTCGGCACTCAGTAAATATTTGTTAAAGGAGCAAATAAATGTGTCCAGGGTGATGAGTGGACTCAAAGTCATGGATTATGAGAGACTATGGAACAAACAAAAAATGGTTAGTTTAGAGAAACAGAAAACTCAAGGAAGAAGCAATAACTTTCCACAAACATGTGAAGGACTGTTGTATGGCAGAGGGATGCAATTTGTTCTGCAGGGCCTCAGATCACAATTAGGGTGAAAGATAAGAAAGTGTAAGAAGATAATGTCTGGAAAGAAGTAAAAACTTTCTGAAAATGGAACGGCTGCCTTAAGAAGAATGAAATTTCCTTTTACTATAGAGTTTCAAGTATAGTTAAAGAATCACTTATTAATGATACTGTGGAGGGAATTCAAGCATTCAGGTGAAGGTAGAGGTACTAGATGGTGATGATGATGATGATGATGATAACTACTGTCTAATGATCATTCAGTATGTGTCAAGTCGTATACTGATTGCTTAAATAAATTCCACAAAAATACTTCTATGCTTGGCATGTAAAATTTCTTAGAATAGGTTTCAAAGCTGGGTATCATTATAGTGGCAAAGACTGCTAATAGTTCACCAGTATCCCTTATCCCTTTCTTCCTTTTAATAACTGAATCCCCAATCCAATGTTAGCTACACCCATGACTGCAGCTGTAGTCTATATTTCCCAGCTTCCATTGCAGTTAGAAGTGACCACACAACTAAGTTTGAACCAATGGAATGTAAGCAGAAGGGTAAGTGCAACCTCTGGTTCATCTCTTTGAAGATTCTTGTCCTGGATATTCTCTACCCTTTCTACCCTTTCTCACCAAATGCAAAGGTAATAACTGGAGTAATCCATAAGTTTTAAAGATGGCCAACCCACGTGACAGCCTGGGTTTGGATGGGCTCCTGGAGCAGTTCACATACACACCTAAGATGGCTCTGAGAAAGAAAGAAACTCCCTTCCTCTCTGAGCCATTGGAATGCTTTCTTCTCTTTTCTGCAGTAGCTGAGCTGATGGCCTATTACAATAAATGTCCCCACTGTACAGTTAAGAAAACTGAACTTCCAAGGAGTTAAGCATTTTATAAAAGGCCACCTTATTGATAAGTATCAAATAAAATTTATACAATGTAATATTTCAAGATACATAGTGATGTAATAAAATATATTAAAAAATGAATAATATCTATAAAATTAAATCTTGATGAACTTAAAAAATAAAGATGGAAAGCAGTAGAATTTAGGAAGACATCTTAAACATTATTTTGAAGAAAATGATCAGGGTAGCAATTAGGGTCTTCATTTTATATACCTTTGAAATTAACTTGAATGATAATCACTCTTCTGCTTTTTAACGTATTTATTTGCATAGGGGTTCTTTAGTAGCCTCCTAGCATTGCCAAATATTTATATACTACTCTATCATTCTACATATTAAACTATTTAAAAATTCCAGTTGATTTTCTGTTATTTCATTTTTATTTACAGTGAGTTTTAAAATATTAGAAGGTAAAAGCAAAAATATTCTATTAGAATCTATAGAATACAAGAGATCAGTGTTTATTAACTTCTTTCATTAATTTTTTTTTGTGTGTGTGACAAATTCACGTGCTTTGTGTTCACTCTGGTAGTTAGGAAGTAAAGACGATTTGAATCCTCTTCGATTCTCCCCTTTGTCCAGTGGACTGCCTTGGCACCCGTCCTCCTGAGCTCCGACTTTGCTCTCCGCTCTCTTCACTCCTGTCCCAGGTAGAACACCGTCTGCACAGTGCGTGGTCTGTGCCCCGCACTCACACAGACAATGGCACGATCAGGAGTGGAGGCACCGTCCACACATCTCAGGCTTCCCTTTGGAGCTCTGCTGCCCACCGGGCGCGTATTAGTGCTCATCAGCCGGAAGGAGGAAGGCCAGCATGGAAACGAAGCCCACAATAGCTTTCTCTCCTTTTGGCAATAAGGACTATTTGGAGTAAACGTATTACTTTTCATCATCATTCACAACGGGAAATGAGTGAATGCAAAATTCTTCTCAGGAGTTTGGTCTTCATACCTGATAGTGGGAGGGTGGCGTTGGGTCCTTAGAGCTGGCCCTCTGAGGAGAGAAAGGGAGCTCCGTGTTACAGCTTGTTCTTCAGGCATGGCCAATCATTTTAGCATTATTACACCAAGCTGTATCGTTTTCTGATTGTCAGTTTTGTGTGGAGAAAGCAAAGGGTTTCTTTTAGAAGTTATGCACTTATATAACCTCTTGTTCAAAGTACATGTTTGATAAACTGTAAGGTACAGAGCAATTACAGCATGCAGGCATTGTTTTTATGTCAACAATTTATCACTTAATTATGGGGACTTTGTCACATACTTAATTATCATAGTTTTTGAGGAAGAGTCATCACTTTTCTGAAAGCTGAGTAAGTCTGGACATTCATTACATTTGGTTTTATGAAAAGACTCATCCATGGAAACTAGCCCATCATATCTCAATGTCCACTTCATAAGTTACTTCATTATAGCTGTTTGTAATATCCCATCATGAAAGGTCAAAAGATGTCTCAGCAGTGGGTTTGTAAATCAATCATGGTACATTCCTACAGTGGGATCCAGTATATTTCATAATGTGGTGTTTCTGCTCACAGATTCGGGAGGTAGACCGACTGGGGATTTTGGACAATTTTTATCTTGGGCAACTGACTTAAGTGCTCTGTGACTCAGTTTTCTCATTTATAGAATGATAGTTACGAGAGCTCAGTAAGATAATAGTAAAGCACTTAGAACAGTGACACCTATCAAGCCCTTAATTATTGCCAGTGACTATTACTATTTAATAATTAAAATGAATGAGGTAAATCAAAATGTGGAAAGTTTTCCAATGCATATTGTAAAGTGTTTTGTTTTTTTTTAGTTGGCACACACACACACACACACACACACACACACACACACACACCCATATATGGTGTGTGAGTGTAATGAAGCCCGCTATGCAAAATACCACACAGGCTATTTCTCTCTAGTAAGAAAAGAGCACATAGGTGGTGGCCAGTAGTGGAAGAGGGGACCTACAGACACCTATCTGAGAGCAATACTTAAACCTAGGGAGGCAACCAAATAGTGGACCTGACTTTATTCCTTTCTCTCTTTCTTCCTTTCCTCCTTCGCTCCCTCCCTTTCTTCCTCCCTCCCTCCCTCCCTCCCTCCCTCGCTCTCTTCATCCCTTTCTCCACCTCTCCCTTCTTTCCTTCTTTTCTCTTTCTCTTTCTATAATGAGGTTGTATTTGTGAATAATNTCCCTTCCTTCCTTCCTTCCTTCCTTCCTTCCTTCCTTCCTTCCTTCCCTCCCTCCCTCCCTCCTTCCCTCCCTCGCTCTCTTCATCCCTTTCTCCACCTCTCCCTTCTTTCCTTCTTTTCTCTTTCTCTTTCTATAATGAGGTTGTATTTGTGAATAATTGTGTAACTAAAGTAATTATAATGTTGTAAAATTATTCAACTTTCTTTAGCTGCTCTGTAAGGAGATCCTGGTTATACTTCCTCATATTAACTTCTGATATGTTTAGATTGATCAAAGTCTCCTAGAAAAAATTCCCAAGTAATTTAAATCCCTGTGCCCATTCTTTATAACTTACACAGTCCTTTTGAAAGTGTTTGGTCTATTTTTCTCTGCCAAATGGGACACGGAGACCTGATTGTAGCTCCCAAGCCTTCACGCTGTCATGCCCAGGGTCCAGCTTCGCTTGCACACCTGCAGCCATTCCCATTTCAGGTCGTATCTGTCCTGGAGCCCTTCACCTGAGCTGTGTGCAGATACCTCTCATTTATAGGATTCACGAAGTTCCCACCCACCTGAGGCCTTAGGAAGCCAACTGTCTTCATAGGTCATGCCTGCGCTGCTTTTCAAACTCATCGTTTTCTGGCTCCTGCTTTCAAGGGCCCATGCCTCCCAAACAAAAGCTTCAGGCTGTCTCCAAACACACAAAGACAGTATTCATTAC